CCCAAGGCCTGTTGCTGTTAGGCGGACACCACTGTTGTAGTATTTTAGTTTTTGTAAGAATTTTACGACACTTGCAACACAATAAGGTCATATAAGTGCCGAAGATTAGAGGTGTTACAAGAGAGTAACATACACATAAAAGAAGGAGGGGAGATCAAGACGATAGTTGTTCGACAGGAAAGAAGGAGCAAACCAAACCAGAGCACCTGCCAACCACCCACTGTAGAATATATGTGAGGCGTGCTGAGAAATTGATTTACTTCTCAGAGTTTAGCCCTATGGACAAAGATACTTCACATTTATTGGTTGAGTTTATAACAATGTATTTGTATGAAATGATAACAGAAATGTTGAACTTGAAAAAAATGGCATCCGTTTAAGATCTACAACTTTGACCCCTGTGTCGATTTTTGTCACATATCTCCATTCCCTGGGTCGATTTTAGTCCCATATCCCCATTCCCTGTGTCGATTTTTGTCCCATATCTGCATTCCCTGGGTCAATTTTTGTCCCATATCTCCATTCGTGGGCAGCAAGAAGTAGGCTAACCCATTTTGTCAGCTTGCTTCACAAATAATTTAATACATATCTGACTAACCTGTAACCAGTTGATCTGTCCTTGGTTGGTCAGCTGGATCCCGCCCAGGTTCTGTCCGTTGGTCATCCCTTGCAGGAGCTGTTGCTGGGCCAGGATGTTGTGCAGGGCGGGCGTGTTCTGTGTGGCCGTGGACGTGGTGGTGGTGGTGGCAGACGATGAGGCGTTGGCGGTGATGGTTTGTGGGTAGGACGGGACGGTCAGGGTGGGGAGGGACTGCGACACCTGCACGGGGTTGGCGGGTGGGGACAGTATCACCTGTCCCTGTGGCGTGTTGATCACACTCAACGTCTGAACGGCACTCGCGTTGGAGGCGTTGGCCAAGGCCATCCCAGCGGCTTTGGTCGACTGGGTAGCAGCAGCATTCGACACGTTCGTGGTGTTGTGGCTAATGTTGAGTTGTCCTAAAGACGGCTTGGATTCCATTTTAAGAGCTTGGTTGTGAGCCTGGCTTTGCAAGTGTGACTGCGACTCTTCTGGTTGAGCAGCAGCGGTAGCTTGGGGGGCAGGCTGGACTTGTGCCTGGGTCTGAGTCGCCATTAATGTTTGGAGATTCTGAGGATTCGCTCCAATAGCAACAACACCATTCCCACTGACCTGTTGGAGAGGGGTTTGGATGGGAATGTTCTGGGCTGGGAGTTGGATAGTTTGTAGTACCGTTTGTCCGTTCATAGAGACGGGGACTTGGATCAAATTGGGCATTTGCTGAAGTGCTTGAAAGCCAGGGATCTGCACTGCTTGCATGATGTTACTGTTGGGACGAACTGCGTTCTGAACACCCCCCAAGTTGACAATGTTACCTCCTATATTGACTAGATTCCCCAACCCCCCAAACCCTGCAACGTTTTGAAACAGATTAGCACTTGCTGCCTGCGCTGGGAGCCCCTGTGCACGGATAATTTGTCCCGTCGGTGTGATCAATGTCTGCTGAGCTGCTTGAACGTTGTTGGACGCAGGGACTTGAGTCTGACCGCCACCACCCACCGATGAGGGGATGATAAACGCATCTTGACCATCAATGTTCACTGTCTGATACGACGGTAAAACACTGTAAGTCATCTGACCATTAGGGCCAGGCGTGGCGATAATCTGTTGACCTTGCGCAAATAGTTGACCGCCCACATTGTTCGTCAAAGCTGTTGCTTGCTGTATGACATTTCCTGCGTTGACTACAGGTTTTCCAGTCGAGTCAACAATCGTACCGTTTGATAACTGAATCCAACCTGCAATTGCATCTGAGGAAGTCCCAGCGGCACCACCTTGCCCCGCCCCAATCATCCTCACGCCGGAATCCCCTCCTTGGCCATACCCTTCATCGGTTTGGGCGGGCGATCCGATTTTGCTACAAGTCGCCGCCAGCATCGCAAGGGGTGAGGGTTGTGCGTCCTGCAAGGCGGAGCCAGAAGGGGGTGTAGTTAGAAATGGCGGACACGAGAACACGAGATTCGAAATCAGAAGAAGCTACACGAGAAAAGAATGTTAGCGAAGAAACACACTTACCTGAGTTGAATTAACAGACACAACGTAATCTGAATTTCCTCTACCACCACCAGCTGTCGCCATAATTCCTCAAAACATATGAAATTTTGGTAGAGAACACACCATTCTTCAGCAAACGTGGTTAGTGTCGGACAAAGAGTTGTTTTGACCTGGAAAGCGGAAGACCAACCTACACGCATTTGTACAATATCCCTACGCTACCTAATTTCGATAACATGTGCTTAAAACACAGTCTTTATACCTTACAAATGCTTATTTCTGTTAAAATAAAACACTGCTAAATATTTTCAAGCTACGATTACCAGTATATCGCCTATAATATCTCAAATTACTTTTCTACGCGCATTGATATCAAACTTTCGTAGCGTAGTCCGGATGACCTAGTTCTGGTTTGATTGACAGTAGGAACACCCAGCCACCGTCATTAAAGGCCTGGCGCTACACGTTCCCTCCCAGTTCCCAACAAAAAGTATCATGACCTGTGCGGTCGATATTTTGAGCCGCGCCCATCCGGTACAGTGGTGAAATTGGGACGGCGTGGGCTGGGCGGGCGCCTCTGACTCTTTTTCCCCCTCCTTCTCAGGCCTGAGCGGGCACAAGTATTCCTGGGGGGTAGGGCGGTGGGAAAAGTTGTGTGGGAGAGATGAAAAGGGGCGGGCGGTTAACGCTGAGCTGGCCAGAGGGTCGCTTTTACTTTACTCAATGCACGGAGTAGCCTCGCCCATCCCCATTCATAACAACTGTAGACTGTTGCAATGAGGAGAGGAGCCAATTTTTACAAACACTACAACCGTACTTGTTATGGCGATATCATATTATTATATCGAACCCACGAAAGCCTGAAAAGCAAGAGATTTTCACAATTCTATACTTCCATATAATAGGTTTTGTTTACTATCAAAATACTAGTTAGGATCTACTCAAGAAATTAACGTGTCAAATCAATCAAAACGTGTCGCGGTCTCGAACAGATAAACAGTCCCCCGTTTTCGTTCAGATGTATACATTTTAAAGAAAGTTTTAGTAAGAGTTTTACGGCATTTGCAACACAGTAAGGTCTTAAAAGTTCCCAGGAATAGAGGTATTAGCCTACAAGAGAGTAGCAAACACAAAAAGGAGGGGAGATGAGGACGATATGTTTAATTGATATGAAAGAAGGAGCAAGCCACACCAGAGCACCAGCCAACCACCCACAATTACAATAACAAGTAACAAGTTCCCCCGTTTTCGTTCAGATTTATACATTGGCTCAGTTATAGCTTATAGTATAAAAATACCACGTGAATAAAATTTATTTTACAGGAGTTACACTGGTAGCCTAGATTTAACGCTCGAAGTATGCTGCTGTGTTTGCTATTAACATACTCATTAATTTATACCGCCTTTGGCATTCAGATCTAGAGTTTACGAGTGGGTGGTTGGCGGGTACTCTGGTGTGGTTCGCTCCTTGTTTCCTATAAAAACAATATCGTCTCTTTCTTCCCTCCTTCTTTTGATGTTTGTTACTCTCTTGTAACTCTTCTAATCTTCGGCACTTATATGACCTTACTGTGTGGCAAGTGCCGTAAAACTCTTACTAAAACTTATATAAGAGTTTATGACAAGTTGCCACGACGAAGACCTACTTTGCAGTTTGCAGTGAACTAATTCAGAACACAGCGTGTTAGGCCAAACCAAACACAAACAGTGGATCACAATTAGCACAGCGTGTTAGGCCAAACTAAAAACACAACCAGTGGATCAAACAAATCACAAACACAAACAGTGGGTCACAATTAGCACAGCGTGTGAGGCCAAACTAAAAACACAAACACAACCAGTGGATCAAACAAATCACAAACACAACCAGTGGGTCACAATTAGCACAGCGTGTGAGGCCAAACAAAAACAGTGGGTCACAATTAGCACACAGCGTTAGGCCAAACAAATCATTAACACAACCAGTGGATCAAACAAAACACAACCAGTGGATCAAACAAAACACAACCAGTGGATCAAACAAAACACAACCAGTGGATCAAACAAAACACAACCAGTGGATCAAACAAAACACAACCAGTGGATCACAAGAAGAAAGAAACCAAAAAGGGACACAGTCAAAGCGTAGCCTAAGCCTGGCCTAGCCTACGGATTTTGTCTACGTTACATCGAAATCTATTTGTGCGTGTATGTGTGTGTGTGTGTGTGTGTGTGTGTGTGTGTGTGTGTGTGTGTGTGTGTGAGAGAGAGAGAGAGAGAGAGAGAGAGAGAGAGAAAGAGAGAGAGAGAGAGAAAGAGAAAGAGAGAGAGAGAGAGAGAGAGAGAGAGAGAGAGAGAGAGAGAGAGAGAGACAGACAGACAGACAGACAGACAGACAGACAGACAGACAGACAGACAGACAGACAGACAGACAGACAGACAGAGACAGGGAGATAGAGATATTAATGGTAAAACGATGTCATTTTACAACAATTTCAAAACATTCATTATTTTCCAAATTTACCACAGTGGCAATATGCCACGTACGAACATTGTGAAGTAAATCTGAAGACAAATTTTGAACATTCAATATTATCGTTATTGTCATTAAAGAATGAGTTTGAAACACACAACATTTTTAAAAGAAAGGTCAGACAGAAAAGAAAAGAAAATGTGCACCTGCAGCAGTGGGTTCAAGAAAAAGGAAATTTTTAAAAGACAAATACTGTTATAAAAGGCTTATTCTAATTACTGCCGGGCTGACAGATTTAGTCTTACTAGATCTAGAAGGCTAATACATTGCATCATTGAATCCGACTACTTGAGTAAGAGTTGGGATATCAATCTTTTTCTTTTCTTAAGTACACCCAGAGAGGTACATCTAATACATGGAAGCCAAACGGGAAAGGGCGTCATTAAGAAAGTGGAAGTGCCTCTTGTAGGTCAAAGCTATATATAGATATATCAAAATTAGTGGATTATGCACAGGTACAAATAATGAAGTCTTCTGAATTGAGCACAAGTCAATTGATCAGTGGTAAACACTGTTCCCAGTGCAAACTGGAAAGTTTCTTTCTCTTCCCTAATCCACGTTACTCTATTTATCTTCTAATAAAAGATGGAAGAGATTAGAGGGCCAAAAAAAAAAAAAAATCAATTAAAAAAAGACCATGTAAACAAGCAGGCTACATACACTTTTTGAAACAAGAAATAAGTCAGACATTTGAAAGACCTCCGTGAAAAGTTACGTAAATCTACGTATTTATGTGATCCTTTTCTTTGTCTACGAACAGTGTAATGGTTAAACATTGTCGGGTTATGGCAGTCTCAAGGCTGCAGCCTATTCTTATAGGAAAAAACACTTTGATTACTCAAAATGGGAATTAAGACATAAATCCTCATTCAATAATGTCCGTGAAACGTAATCACTTATTGTGTATCTGCTTAATCGCAACTCGTAACAACGCAAACAAATCATATATTTACGTATACTTTTTGCGCTGAAGGCGGGGTTTGAGGGATCATAATTAATTGAGGTACAGTATGCTAGGCTATCGTTTGTCTTCAGCGAATGCGAGAAGTTGTAACTCAACAGAACAGAACCACCTTAAAACAAACATTGTAAAAAACGTCATTATAGGCGAGTTTCTATTGATTTATTTTGCTACCAAAATTAAAGTCATTCGTTGTGCGGGAAATATCCGCACTGATCACTCAAATAAAATCTTGCATTATTGAAATATTCGTAGATCTAGAGTGTGCGTGATCGTATATCCTGTACCGGTATAAAAAAATTATCGAAGTGGCTAGCCGTACTTAAGTACGGCTAGACTGCCAGTCTAGCCGTACTTAGATCTAGGTTTGGCCCTATCGACTCAAGCCTGTTAAGTACACAGGTCTCATTAGATCTAGATCAAGTAATTATTCAGGTTCAAATACATGCAAGTCAGTAAGGCACCTTTTGGTTTTGTCTGAAATACAAATACTTTAGGCATTGCAAACTAAAAATTCAATTTACAATTCAGCCATCAATATTAAGTACGGCTAGCCGTACTTATCTTAGCCTGTCTTAGGCCCTATTAACATTTAGAAAACAGAAGGTTCAAAATACATGCACTGTCATTAAATTAAGGCACCTGGTTTCGTCTCAAATACAAATACTTAGGTACTGCTCACTAAAAATGTATATTTACAATTCAGTAGGCCTATTTTTGGTAAATAGTCAGTCTAGCCATCATATTAAGAATAAGTACGGCTAGACTGCCAGTCTAGCCGTCCCCCTCTTCCAAACTAAAATTTCCGGCTCCCCAGTCTAGCCGTCATTAAGTACGGCTAGCCTCTTCCAAAAATTATATTACACATTTCCGATTCACTAATAAGTTCAGAAATGTTAAATAGTTAGAAAGTGGATTTCCTAGTAGATTTCTAATGGATTTCTAGATCACTCTCTAAAAAGTAAAAGACAAAAGTATGCGCCAACGGTGATAATTATCTTCGCAATTACAGATTTTCAACTTTGCCAAAGTAGTTCTGACCCCTTCGAGGTCGATAGGTCAAAGGTAGATCCAAATCTCTCGGAAACATCCATTCAACAAAACAAAGTATCAAAATCTTGAACGTCTGGACTACTAGCTTTACATACAATTCTAGAAATTACTTAAACAACCTTAAAACATACCATTATAGCGTTCACTTTCTTGTTGTCGGTCACTTGATCAGTCATCACTGGTCCTGTGTGTAGTAATTGTCCATCGCCATACACTTGACTAATACACAGAGGACGTGAGTTCCATGCCCACGTGGGGGAGACATTAATGTATCGAGTGTTTCGTCTTTTGCAAGATGGAGTGAATCACACAAAGCTCGGGTTCATCCTGAGAGATAGGATCAAAGAACATTGGCTTTCAACATTGTGTTGACAGGGTCGTGAAACATTAAAATTTATCAAATACTCTTATCATTATATAAATTAATTTGTTTTGACCCCCTTCTCCCGGTATTATATCACCGGGGTTAAAACGAAGTTATTACACCGGGAGTATTTTTCCTTCCGGAAGTCGGAAGTCGAAAGTACAACTTGCGGCTAGCTGCAGCCCCGTCAGCCAGAAGCTGATTGGCTGCGGTAGGCTAGTGGTAAATATTGTGTTGGGCCTATGATTCCAGTTTTAGCAGTTTGGAAACTTCTGAAACAGTGCTATAAATATAT